ATAGAATAGTAGAATAGAAAAAGAATAGAGCAAGCTAGTGTTAGAGGTCTTTTTTGCTTTTGTTAATTGTATAATAAATAACAGATCGAAAATAGATTGAATACAAAAATATTAGAGAAGCTAGTGTTAGTTTCTTTTTTTTTTCTTTTTTTTAAGAAAACAAGCAGTTAGTAAATGAATAGAGTGCAAGTCTAAATGGGGCGTTTTTTTAAGAATAGAATTAGAATAGAGAGTGCTAGAGTTAGAGGGTCAAATAAAGATGGAAGAGATGTTTTTAGCCGATTCTTGAAGATGGCTAAGGACTCAGCTGCTCGGATTGAGTTGGGCAGGTCATTCCACCAGGATGGAACTGTTACAAATGAGGCTCCCGCACTACGTCTCTCGCACCACCAGAGGGAGCCTTCACCTGAGTATTAACCACCTCATTCGGACTCAGTTTCCCATCAGCCTTCATACCTGGGACTGATCACTCTGCACCTGTCTTCAATTATCTCACACACACACCTTTTAAGGCACTATTATCTGCTCTTCAGTGCGAAGTCTTGAAGTGGCTGAAAGACCTGCCAAGAGAGCATTGCAATCGTCCAGCCTGGACAGAACAAGAGCTTGAACAAGGAGTTGTGAAGCATGTTCCGAAAGAAAGGACCTGATCTTCCTAATGTTGAATGAAGCAAATCAGCAGGAACGGAAAGTTTTAGCAATGTGGTCTGAGAAAGTCAGCCGATCATCATCGTTTTAAGAGTGTGGAACAGATGGATGTACCATATAAATTAAAAAAAATATATATATCTATATATATATTTTTTTTTTTTTCAGTTTGAGTCTGAGTCTGGTTCTTTGTGTTCAGATTCTAGGGAAATAACTTTTTTTTTTGCACAAAATGATTTAAAACATATTACATATTTTCCATATAGTCTATCAATTTATATGTGATTACACAGAAAAAAATGCTTTTTAAAGTGTACCCTACCCGACACACCAAATACCCCTGTACTATTTATGTGTGTGTTCGCATACTCACTTTTGGCTGCTTTTAAGGTCATCTTCACTCATGCCTTTGCCCTCTGATTGCTGAACTGCCCATACTGCTCTCCTGAGGAAACACAACATCACATCATATCATATCCTATAGAAACTACACGTTCACCATCTCTCTCCTCCCACCTCATGTCTGTACGTGACAAAACAAACACCACAGAAAGCACACAGGAGGTTACAATTAAAACAGACCTCGCAAGTGTTTCGCCTGTCTGCTGAGTATGTTTCACTTCCTCTCTTTTTATATGTGAAGTAGACATGTGGGGGCATGGGAGGCGTTTTAGGAGGGCGTGGACCAGTCTTAACTTTTATAAAGAATATCTCTTTGGGTTTGAGACTTTAGTCTTTGCAAATTTAGGGATCTTATCTATGCACAAACAGCTTGTAACACTCCAAAGAGAAAGGCAAACTTGAAATTGCATCATATGACCCCTTTAATTCAAGTTTATCTCATGTGATGCAGGACAACAATACACCCAGGGGAGTAAATTTCGTCTAACAGTTGGGGGGGGGACAATAAATATAAAATTTCTCAAGAGCAATTTTTGAAGGGGACACAAATAATACAGCTAAAATTGTACTTGTAAAGATATGTATACACAGAGGAAAGCCTTACTACTATTAGTGCAGTCAGCACTCGTGTCCGTTGTAGACATTACTATCTGTCACAGTGTTGCCAAGTCTGCGGTTTTCCCGTGGAATTGGGCTACTTTATCACTGTTGCCACGGGTTATTTTTCATGTCTGCAGGTTGAAGCGACCCCAATAACGTGATATTTAGCCCCTGGGATGCAAATTTTACCAGAGGACCCCCTCGAAACTATTATTGCTAACATAGCGGACTTATAAAAAATACATTGGCATCATCTGTGTTAAAGAGAAAATAATCACTTCATCCGATGTGAATAAATTTGCCTTGACAGCCTTACTTACTGGAGTTCCACAACTACTGGCTTTGTTCTCTCTCACCAGGACTTGTGTGTGTGTAGGTGATGTAAAAGAGGAAAGCAGGCATTTGGACCAAAGCACTGTGATGCAAGGGAGGGGGAGACTCTAAATGTTTCTAAACTTAAAACACATTTTTGTCCCATTTGCGTTGCTTTACTACTTACACGATTATTTAAAGTATAAAGCATTGTTATTTACAATACACAGCTGGTTTTCAATCATATTTTTAGGGGGGCAACCCTCAGATAGGGGGGGGCCTGTCCCACCCGAACAGGACTTTGCAAGGGTGCAGTCAGGATCACATCAGCAAACACAACACGCTACCTGTAAAATTGCCTTCAAGGCCATTTGCAGTTAGCAACCAGTGTGGACACATCCTGGCCAGGATTTCTATATTGGAGTGTCTATTTACACTAAGTTCAAATAACCCTGCTTTGTTGGCAGAGGATATTTACACTAACTCTGCCTACCAATATAGTTATTATATCCAATCACATGGAAGCCACTCAATGCATTTAGGCATTTAGACGTAGTCAAAACAATCGGCTTCAGTTCAAACCGAGCATCAGAATGGGGAAGAAAGGTGATTTAACTGACTTTGAATGTGGCATGGATGTGGTCAGCTATTTCAGGAACCGCTAATCTACTGGGATTTTCATGCACAACCATATCTAGGGTTTATAGAGAATGGCCCGAGAAAACATCCAATGAATGGCATTTCTGTGGGCAAAAATGACCATTGAAACTTGAAGCAGATGGGCTACAGCAGCAGAAGATCACAACGAATGTCAGCTAAGAAAAGGAAACTCGAGCTATAATTCACACGGCTCACCAAAACTAGACAATCTACCTACATTTCTGCAAAACTCAAAAAAACGTACCTACATGTACAAATCGCTGCAGTTTCCAGTTGAAATGAACATTAGAGGCAGTAAAACAAGTGGCCCTATTATGCCATTTTTAAGCTTCCTAATATTGTATTGAGAGTCTCTTACAACAGGTTTGCACGCATGCAAGGACAAAAAAACTGAGATGCATGTGCATGTAAGTATATTTACTGATAGAAATTCCCAGTCATAAAGGTTTTATTTTTTTCTGTCTTTTCAGTCAGCTCTAAATAAATAGCATCTGAATTTGTGATGATCATCAAGTTTCAAGTAAAGGAGAGGAATGGGACAGAAAAAGAAAACAAATAATCTCTCTCTCTCTCTCTCTCTCTCTCTCTCTCTCTCT